CTTGGACTGGTGTGGCCTAATGGATATGGACTATATTGGTGATAGGCTTACTTAGATAAGGGGGAAGATAAGAGAGAGCCTTGATGTGGAATGTGTCGATGAATAATGCTCCATTGATCCTATGATCTAAAAGTAGTCATGGAATCTCGTAGATAGGAGGGTGGAATCCAAAGGGATCTCGTCGACGATGATGATGACACGGTGGTTTTATGCAAGTTTAGGCCCATTTATGTTGCTTTGCGATTCATGCTCATGGGTTGAGTACGTTGTTGACTGATGTTTCGTTCGTTTTCAATCGATTTTCTGACCGGGCTTTTTCTGTAGTTGGGCCATGGCCGAGTGCTAGCTAAACAACAACATTTACCTAATAAGAAAGACCACTTGATAAGAGTGGTAAGCTATATGAAAAACATTGAACAATCCTGCTTCAAAAAAAAAAACCCTAATAAGAAAGAAGTTTATCAAAAAATAAATAAAATAAAAAAGAAGCTAGCATATTTGCGGGATCGCGCGGGATTCCCATCAATCACGCTCCCGAGCGCTGTGAGCCAACCCATTTGGTCGGTTATATAATTCTAAAAAAAAAGGTCGGTTATATTAATCGGGATACAAAGGGCTGGGTTGACCGAGTCTGTTTTTTTAAACCAGAGCTAAAAAATGTTCTAGAATTTCAAAATAGTACGGAAGAATTTCCATGCAAAAAAAAAGTACGGAAGAACACCTGGCTAGAAAATCGACTTAAAACACATGCAACACCAGCCAACCAGGTGCTCTACCCATGAGCACGAATCACATAGTAATAAATGGACGGTAACAGATTTGACTGAAAGCTTAAAAAAATCAGTTGCCTGACAAATCAAACCGGTTAGTCACCCCTGCATTCAACAAGACACTATCATCCCCGTGCTGTATACCATTGCGCATTGCACCGGCCCTACGATGAACCCTTCGCCGCACACCGGCGCCTTGGAGTTTCCACCCACTTTGTTCCTTCTCCCAGCATTCAGCAAGTTCGTTGTCTTGTACATGCATATGCTACAAGATAGCCACATGCAGCTATACCACCCTCGTATCTTGCTATTGTTCCCATTTGGCACATCTAGACAAAGCAAAGCAATAAGCCGGCTTTTATACCCCCTTGCTCGCCTACGGTTACTTGGCTCACATTCCCTGTACACACACGATCGAGGGCCGTCTTGAATCTTGCTTTGCACCGGCCAAGAAGTGTGGACGGGGAGACGGCGGGCCATGGCACGGCAGCAGCTACAGGTGCTTCACGCGCTGGACGTGGCGAGGACGCAGAGGTACCACGCGTGGGCGGTGGTGATCGCCGGCATGGGCTTCTTCGCCGACGCCTACGACATCTTCTGCATCACCCTGGTCACCAAGCTCCTCGGACGCATCTATTACCACGTCCCGGGCCAGCAAGTGCCCGGGATGCTCCCCCGGCGGATCGAGGCGGCCATCAACGGCGTCACCTTCTGCGGCATGATCGTGGGCCAGCTCTTGTTTGGCTGGCTCGGCGACAAGGTCGGCCGGAAGATGTTCTACGGCAAGACCATCATGCTCATGATCATGGGCTCCTTCCTCTCCGGCTTGTCGTTCGGGAACACGGCCGACGGCGTCATGGCCACGCTATGCTTCTTCAGGTTCTGGCTCGGCGTCGGCATCGGCGGAGACTATCCGCTCTCCGCGACCATCATTTCCGAGTACTCCAACAAGAGGACGCGCGGGAGCCTCATCGCGGCCGTGTTTGCCATGGAAGGGTTTGGCATCCTTGCAGGTTGCATTGTCACCTTGGTCGTGTCGGCCACGTTCCAGGCGCGCTTCAACCCGCCGGCGTATGACGAAGACCACATGGCCTCGGTCCCGCCGCAGGCTGACTACGTGTGGCGCATCATCCTCATGGTGGGTGCCATCCCAGCCGTCTTCACCTATCGCTGGAGGGTGATGATGCCGGAGACGGCGCGCTATACGGCGCTGGTCGCGCGCGACGCCGAGAAGGCCGCGCGCGACATGTCCAAGGTGCTCAAGGTGGAACTCAGCGGCGAGCAGGACAAGATCGAGGGCTTCACCAAGGACAGGGACTACGGCGTCTTCTCCCGCCGTTTCGCCCGCCGCCACGGCTGGCATCTCGTCGGCGCCGTTGCATCCTGGTTCGTGCTCGACATCGTCTTCTACTCCCAGATCATTCTCCAGGAGGAGATCTTCAGGGACATCAAGTGGATCCCCGAGGCAAACAGCATGAGCGCGCTCGAGGAAGCGTACCGCGTTGCCCGTGCACAGGCGATTATCGCGCTATGCGGCACACTACCTGGCTACTGGTTCACCATCGCCTTTGTGGACGTCGTCGGGCGGAAGGCCATCCAGTTCCTCGGGTTCACCATGATGAAGGGACTCATGCTCGTCGTGGCCGGCTTCTACCACCAACTGACGCAGCCTGGCCGGCGAATCTGGCTGGTGGTCATGTACGCCTTCACCTTCTTCTTTGCCAACTTTGGGCCCAACAGCACCACCTTCATCATACCGGCCGAGGTTTTTCCGGCGCACGTCCGGACGACCTGCCACGGGATATCATCAGCGGCAGGCAAGGTCGGCGCCATTGTCGGGACGTTTGGCTTCCTGTACGCCTCGCAGAGGGCGGACGGCAGCAATGAGAGGGAGACCGGGTACCCGTCGGGCATCGGCGTGCGTGCCTCACTGTTCGTGCTGGCCGCGTGCAATGTGTTGGGAATAATTTTCACCTGTCTCCTGCCTGAGCCGAACGGGAGGTCGCTGGAGGAGGTGTCCGGCGAGCCCATCAACGGGGAGGACGCAGATCTGGGTGATTCCAAGGTTCTTCCCTTGTAGAACCTGCCTGAACGTAGGCTGTGCGCACCACTCGAT